TTTTTTTTTTTTTTTTATGTGAATGTTCCCGTAAAGGCCAAAAGAGGTCACTGGCTCCTTTGGAGCTGGAGTTACAGGCCTGTCTGCATGGGTTCTGCTAGGTCCTCTGGAAGAGCACTGAGTCATCTCTCCAGTCTCCGCTGCTGTTGTTTTGGTTTCGCTTGAATTTTTTGTTTCACTATTTTGTTTGTTTGTTTGTTTGTTTGTTTGTTTTCAGACAGGGTCTCTATGTAGTCCTTCCTGTCCTCGACATCAGACCAGGTTGGCCTTGAACTCAGAGATCCACTTGTGTCTATCCACAGAATTTTGAGATTAAAGATACCAGATGGGCTTCAAGACTGTACAAGCAAAGACATCTGCCTTTCTTTTTTAAATAGACTTATTTGAATGTGTTTAATCCCAGCACTCAGGAGGCAGAGACAGGTGGATCTCTATGAGTTTGAGGTCAGCTTGGTCTATATAGCTAGTTTCAGGCCAGCCAAGGCTGTACAATAAGGTCCTGTCTCAAAAAAATTTTTAATTAAATTTTTTAAAAATTACATTACATAATAAATTAAATAAAATAGTCTTACTGAGCTTAACACAGGATAAACTGCAAATGTTTAAAGTATACACAGTTAGATTTTGACACAGGTATTTAGCTAGGATATCAATCTCCAGAGAGCCAACAGCCTGTTTGTTACCCAGAGCCAATTTCTGCCCTGGTGATTCTTTCCTCCCCTCCCCTCGAGGCACCATTGCCTGATTTCTGTCACTATGAAGTGGGTCACCTTGTCCAGAATTTTATGTAAATGAATCATGTGTTGTGGCAATCTTTCTGGAATAAGCACTCTGACATCAATAAAAGTAGAAGAGAGATGTATTCACCAGTAGACTGAAGCCTGCTAGCTCCTGGAAAGCATTGTATCAGGTCCAGTTTGCATTCTCATTTTGTACTCTAAACCTACAACATAGGGCAAGCAAAATTTTGTTTTGTTTGGTTTTTTGTTTTTTTTTTTTTTTTTGAGATAGGGTTTCTCTATGTGGCTTTGGAGCCTGTCCTAGAACTTGCTCTGTAAACCCGGCTGCATTCAAACTCACAGAGATCCACCTGCCTCTGCCTCCCAAGTACTGGAATTAAAGGCATGTACCACCACCACCTGGCCGGACACAAGCAGGATTTTACAGAAGCATACTGACAGAAGGCTGTTAAGGGCAACAATCCATTGCTTCAGCTATTTCTCCAAGTTATTCTGTTCCAAGTAGCAAGTGAAGTCATTCTTGGCAAACAGGCAGTACAAGCAGTACTTTAAGTAAATCACTAAATAAATCAATAAATTAGTATAGAATAACTGGTCTTTTCTGTTGTGTGATATTTTGTTTGTGTTCTGACAAATAAAGCTTGCTTGGAGTCAGAAGGCAGAGCTAGTCACTAGTTAACCACAGAGGTCTGGAAGTCTGTACAGGCAGAAACAGGAAGTGATAAGGCAGGGCAGAGACAGAATCTCACCTCTTTCAGTCAGAGGATTAGGAGAGGTAGGAAGTGATTGTGGCTTCTCTCTTGCTTCTCCAATCTTTCAGGTTTTACCCTGATCTCTGACTCCTGGTTTTTATTGATAAGATTAGTTAGATTTATGCTTCATCTGGTGTCCAACTTTTGGGGCACAAATTCACAAAAAAGCAGCTTGCCAGTGACTTTTCAACCACCAGCACATACTGGAGCTGCATTCAGGAACTACCCCCAGCTGAGTCACCAAGCCACTGCCTGGCTTTTCCTTTTCTTCCCCAAGCCCTCTGAGTGAGTCTGGGATTTTTCTGTTGCAGCCTCTCTACAGCAAACTCCACAGGCTCCAAACACCACTGGAATTAGCTCCTCACCACCAGCCAGCTCTGCCTTCAGGCAGTTCTGTGCTTTCACTTCCTGCTGATTACACATACTGCTTTTGAATGTCCCCTGTGCAGACAGCTGGCTCTTTGGCTCCTTTTCCCCCATGGATTGTGGGCTTTCCCTGGACCCCCTCCTCAGGCTGCTGACATGCAATCAGTGGCAGCTGTCCTCAGCCAGGCTGTGAACCACTTGTGTTCTCTGCTCAGACATGCTACACAGTAGCAGTCAGCCTCACACTTCACCATCATCAGATTTGGTGAGACAATTGGGAATTTTTAAAGGGGGGGATTAGATTTGAGAGAGAGAGAGAGAGAGAGAGAGAGAGAGAGAG